ATCAGAAGAATATTTTGACAGTCATGTGAGACCTGCCCAAATTGAGACTGAGAAGGTGAATTTCAAGACGAACTTACTCAATCGAGGAAGAAAGCCGTTGCACGCGCATGGGGAGAAAAAGGGTAGAAAGTCTAAGAAGCATTGAGAGTTGTGATGTTAATGTAGAGTTTAGTTAATGTGGATGTTTTTTTTGAAGTTTAGGAAAATGTAGATGTTGAATGAATTTTACTGAATGTAGATGCTGATTGAAGTTTAGGAAACTGTTGAAATTACAATGAAGTTATGAATGAAGCATTATTCAGTGATGTTATGTTTTCTCTATATTATGTTTAATGTGTCCACAAGGAAGAAGTTATGAATGATCATATAACGAAAAATGGTTGAAAATGGACCTTATTCACCCTGCCACCAGGCTTTCTCACGGCCTCAATAATTCATTTTCACGGCCGTGAGATGGTAATTTCTCAGTGTCTCTGATGCAGGATGAATCTTTCACGCCCGTGAGACTGGGACGTGAGATGGGATTTCTGTGACACCTTAATGATGGCAATCTCACGCCCGTGAGACTGGGCCGTGAGAATCAACAAATCATTCCCTAATGTCCAGAGAACCTCACGGTCTTGAGAGAACAATCTCACACCCGTGAGATTGTGGGCTGCTGTGAGTTAGTGAAAAAAACGTCATTTGGAAGGTTCGAACCCGAGCACTTGGCATAATAATTCAGCTCACTAACCAGTCAGACTACTTAACATATTTTGTAAAGTTGATTGTCCGTTTCCCTTTTAGTACATATGGTTGAATGAGCGTTTGATTATCGGTTTTTGGTTCAACCCATGTAATTGTAAACCGATGTGAGATTGAGTTTAGGTATATGGTTGAATGAGCGTTTGATTATCGGTTTTGGGTTCAACCCATGTAATTGTGGCCCGATGTGAGATTGATGTTAGGTATATGGTTGAATGAGCGTTTGGTTATCAATTTTGGGTTGAACCCATGTAATTGTGAACCGATGTGAGATTGATGTTAGGTATATGGTTGAATGAGCGTTTGATTATCGGTTTTGGGTACAACCCCTGTAATTGTGAACTGATGTGAGATTGATGTTAGGTATATGGTTGAATGAGTGTTTGGTTATCGGTTTTGGGTTGAACCCATGTAATTGTGGCCCGATGTGAGATTGATGTTAGGTATATGGTTGAATGAGTGTTTGATTATCGGTTTTGGGTTCAACCCATGTAATTGTAAACCGATGTGAGATTGATGTTTGGTATATGGTTGAATGAGCGTTTGGTTATTGGTTTTGGGTTGAACCCATGTAATTGTGGCCCAATGTGAGATTGATGTTAGGTATATGGTTGAATGAGTGTTTGATTATCGGTTTTGGGTTCAACCCCTGTAATTGTGAACCGATGTGAGATTGAGGTTATGTATATGGTTGATTGAGCGTTTGGTTATCGGTTTTCGGTTGAACCCATGTAATTGTGGCCCGATGTGAGATTGGTTGATGATATATGGTTTAGTGAGTGTTTGATTACGGTTATTGGGTTGAACCCCATGTAATTGTAAACCGATGTGAGATTGAGGTTAGGTATATGGTTGAATGAGTGTTTGGTTATCAGTTTTGGGTTGAACCCATGTAATTGTAAACAGATGTGAGATTGGTTGATGATATATGGTTTAGTGAGTGTTTGATTACGGTTTTAGGGTTGAACCCCATGTAATTGTGAACCGATGTGAGATTGGTTGATGATATATGGTCTAGTGAGTGTTTGATTACGGTTTTTGGGTTGAACTCCATGTAATTGTGAACCGATGTGAGATTGGTTGATGATATATGGTTTAGTGAGTGTTTGATTACGGTTTTTGGGTTGAACTCCATGTAATTGTGAACCGATGTGAGATTGAGGTTATGTATATGGTTGAATGAGTGTTTGATTATCGGTTTTGGGTTCAACCCCTGTAATTGTAAACTGATGTGAGATTGAGGTTAGGTATATGATTGAATGAGCGTTTGGTTATCAGTTTTGGGTTGAACCCATGTAATTGTAAACCGATGGTTTAGTGAGATTGGTTGGTGATATATGGTTTAGTGAGTATTTGATTATGGTTATTGGGTTCAACCCATGTAATTGTAAACCGATGAATTTTTGGGTCGGTCATAATGAAGAAATTCCTAGTTCCTAAACCCTCACCGTCGTGATGCCGTTTCTTCCTTCTCCTCCTTCGTCGGCGCCAGAGGACTGATCCTCGGTTCCTCCCTGTCGACTTCTTCCTTCCTGCTTCCCTCCTTAGTCGGCTCTTATCCACCAATATTACGAAACCATCGATTTCTTCCTTCCTGCTTCCCTCCCTGTCGATTTCTTCCTTCCTGCTTCCTATCTCCCTTCCTTCGTCTTCCCTTCTCTACACAACCATCGATTTTCCATTCTCCTTTATTCGCCCATCCTTCGCCAGCCGCCGAAGACCCGCAGACCGCTCTCCATCACTCTCCGTCAAGTACGATAACCTCTTCTCCTGCTTTACCTGTGTGTTTTGCGCTTCTAGTAGCCTCAGATTTGTGCGGATTTAGGGTTCCACGGGGTTTTTTGGGAAATTGTTGGTTTTCGTCCAGATTTGTGCGGTTCTAGTTGCTTCATTTTCGATTTCTATTTGCACTCACGGGTTCTCTTGGGAAACTTATGGGTTTCGCCGGACTTTGGGTTCTTTTGAGAAATCAGGGACTTATGGGTTCTTCTTGGTATGGAGTACGGTTTAGGCTATGGTTTCTTTCATTTGTGAATGGTTGGTTTGTCGCAGAAGTGAAGGGGAAACTATGGTTGCTTAACTCGGTCTTGCCTCGTGTTTGTTTCAATTCATTCGGTCGGTTGTGGGTGGTGAATATGTGGATTTCAATTGTCTCTAAACTTCATTTTGTTGCTTGTTTTCAGTTGATCAACTATGGAAGGGTTGATGGATGATATGAGCACAGGCAAGGACACGGGAATTGACTTGAATGTTGGTTTAGATTGGGGAATGGATTATGGAGATGATACCGGTGGTGTTAGAGATAGTGACGATATGGAGGACAATGTCGACACCACCGATAGTGATTCTGAGGATGATAATAACACTAACTTTGGTGATGATGATAAAGAGAACATCTCAGATGAGCATTTGCACAGCTTCGAAACACAGCCACACAGCTCAGATGCACCTCTACACAAAGATGCTGCAAATCCAGCCATGGCTCCACCGTACTCGAGTATGTATGACTGGACCTTGCTTGATAAAGTCGGGAATGGTAAGCCATATTCTAAATGGGAGTCGGATGATGTTGTGGGTTATGAGTTTGAAACCCTTGTGGAGGCTGCCAAGTTCTATTCAACTTATGGTTGTGCCATGGGATTCAGCGTACGGAAGAACACTCACACATTTTCAAAATATGGAGTTAAAAATATGCAGCGATGGGTTTGCTCACGCGAGGGGGAGCGTCAACCAGTGCACAATGACAAGGAGAACAGAAAGCGTGAACCTAGGCCTGTAACAAGGCTCCATTGTCCGGCAGCTTTCAAAGTCAGTTTTGTTGAGGCAACTAACCGATTCAAGGTGAAACAGTTTATACCAACACATTTTCATCACTTAGCTGGAGCACATGAAGTGCAGTTTTTGAGTTCTCATCGCAAGGTAGATGACGCAAGTAAGGCTCAGATTCGATCACTTAGGGCTGCTGGTATTCGCACCAATCAAATAATGGATTATCTAGTGAATTGTGCGAGAAGCTTTCAGAACTTGGGTTTCACTAAGACCGATGTCTACAATTTTGTTAGTGCGGATCGGAGGTCGGAGATCTTGGATAGTGATAGTGAAGCTGCACTTGCCTACTTACAAGCACGGGCAACTACCGATCCTCGTTTTTATTGTAGATATACAGTAAGTGGTGGTGGTGAACTAGGCAATATGTTATGGGCTGACTCTTCTTCACAATTGGATTATAGTCTCTTTGGAGATGTTCTTGTTTTTGACTCGACGTACAAAACTAATGCATATAATCTTCCATTTCTTCTATTCATTGGTGTGAATAATCACAATGCAAGCACTGTTTTTGCATGTGCTTTACTTGCGGATGAAACGGCGGAGAACTACGTATGGATTCTAAATGCTTTTTTACATTGCATGGGTGGTAAGAAGCCAACCGCAGTTATAACAGATGGTTGTTCTTCAATGAGGAAAGCTATCAAGTCGGTTCTCCCTGGATCCCGACATCGGTTATGTTCTTGCACTTGGGCAATAACGCAGAAGCGCGTGGCCATGCGGAAGGCTTCCGGGAGGATTTCAAACGATGCATGCTAAACTGCAGTTCTATTCCACAATTTGAAGCTACGTGGAAGGAAATTTTGTCCAAGTATGACCTGGAGCACAATGCGTGGATGAAGAAGATGTATAGGCGACGAGCTCTATGGGCCACAACTTACTTGAAAGGTATTTTCTTTGCTGGGATGACTACGTCACAACGTTGTGAGAGCATGAACTCTTATCTAGACAAATTCTTGCAAAGTAAGATGAAGTTGTTTGAGTTTGTCAAGCAGTTTGACATGGCACTTTTGTATAGGAGACAAACTGAGTTACATGACCAGTTTAAGACAATACATACTGATGTTGTTTTGATGACACATTTACATGAAATTGAAAGACATGCCTCTATAGTATATACAAGAAATGTGTTCAGGAGCGTTCGAGCAGAAATAGCGAGAGAAGTTCATTACTATATTACAAACAAGTGTGTGTTGACCAATAAAACAATTTACACATTGTCACGATTCAAATACCCTGACTCAAAGTGCACTGTGGTCTTTTACACGAGTGGACATGATGTGCATTGTTCTTGTGGCATTTTTGAGTTCTGCGGAATTCCATGTCGGCATATATTCTGTATATTGAAAGCAGAAAATCAAATACAAATTCCAAAGTCACTCATTTTGAAGCGTTGGACTAAAGATGCAAAAGAGTTCGATCCCTCGAGTATGGGAAGCTGTCCTACCCAGCAAAATATTAGCAGGTATTATAAATTTAAGCTGTTGATTTAGTTCTTTGTTTACTTCTATTGTGCTAGGAACCAACTACAAAATTGCTTGTTTATTTGGACAGGTTTGGATTCTTGGTTGGTCAATGTAGTAGAATGTGCCATTATGCTGTGAGTTCGGATGAAGCATTTCATACTGCCAAAGGGTTGATTGAAGACTTGACCTTGCGAGTGAAGACAATAAGTGAAGAAACAACCAACAAAACAAATAATGCTACTACGGATGCTGGAGTGAACTCCTCTCAGTTTATTAAGGACCCCCATCCAGTTCGAAGTAAAGGGAATGTGAAGCAACCTCAAGTGAAAACACGGTTGTGCAAGTATTGTAGGCGTCCTAAACATACAATCAGAAATTGTCCGCTGAAAAGAATGGCTGAAGCAGGTGCAGGTGATAGTCATTTCACGCAACAAGAATACAACTTCGAGTCCATAGGAGCAGGTGAAAGCAGCTTTCATGTGGAGACTCAAGAATCTGTTCTACTTCCCAAACGATCCAAGCACAACCTGTAATGCTGGTGTTCGGCTTCAAACAACATTATGTTTCATCTTGTCATGTTTGTTTTGTACAAGTTAGTATCTAGTGACATTGAATGGATCTATGTAATGCTTGTGTCTAGCTTCAAAGAACATTATGACTCATCTTTTCATAAGCTTGTAGTTTTCAAAAACAGTATATTATGTTTCTTACACTCTTATAATAAGTACAGGGGTTAGTTCTACATGTGAATGTCTGTGCAGGCCAATTCCGGAAATCTCACGGCCGTGAAAGCAGCGTGGTTTTTGGATTTGAAATTCTGAAAATATCACGGCCGTGAGAGTAACCGTGAGAGAGGCCGTGAGATGGTCACAGTTGAAACCCTAAACCACGCCTCATAACTGGAACCTCACGGCCGGGAGATATGCCGTTAGAATTCTTTTTAAAATTTGTAACTTCCAGGGGGTTTCACGGGTTATATCCCGCCCGGGACAATAAGCCGTGAGATGAGCCGTTAGATTTTTTTGAAAAAGGGGGGGGACTTCCAGGGGGTTTCACGGGTTGGTCTCGCCAGTATCACGGCCGTGAGATGAGCCGTGTTTGTGCAATTGAAATGCTGAACTTCTCACGGCTCATCTGTTAATCTCACGGACGTGAGATTAACCCGTGAGATGGTCACAGTTGAAACCCAAAACCACGCCTCATAACTGGAACCTCACGGCCGGGAGATATGCCGTTAGAATTCTTTTTAAAATTTGTAACTTCCAGGGGGTTTCACGGGTTATATCCCGCCCGGGACAAAAAGCCGTTAGAATGTTTTTAAAAAAATTGTAACGGACAGGGGGTTTCACGGTTTATATCCCGCCCGGGAGAAAAACCGTGAGATGGAATGCAGCAAATTGGAAACACCCTGTTTTAAATTCCTCTTTTCTACTTGAACCCGACCCCCAACCCTCTGTTCTACTTCGACCCCGAACCCTCTTCTCCCCAAGCCTCTTCTCCCCCGACCCCCAACCCTGTACTCCCTCTGTTCTCACTCGCTCGCCATCGCACTTCGACCCCCCAAGCCTCGCCCTCACTCGCTCGCCATCGCCCTCGATCGGTCGCACTCGCTCGCTCGCCCTCGAAGATTCTTCCGCCGCCGACCACTTCCCCACGACTACTCTGGTAACTGCTCCAAGGTTCAGCGGCGACGGCGACCATTTCCCCACGAGTCTCTGCCCTCTGTTCCACTTCGTGAGTTCTTCTTAACCACAGCGGCAATCTTCTCTGGTTTCTTGCATTTTTTAGGGTTTAGTTGCCCAAGGTTGGTCTGAATTAGGGTTTTGAATTCCTAATTGTGATTAGAATGCTCCTGGTTGGTCTGAATTAGGGTTTTGAATTCCTAATTGTGATTAGAATGCTACTGAGTGGTCAGTTCCTTATCATCCCTTCCCCACTCATTCTGCTCTTTTCAACTCTTTATGATTTGCTTAAGCCATGCAATTGGATCTGAGATTTTTCGCTGGTACGCTGGTAGTCTGTTGATTATGTTTAGGTAATGAGGAGCTGAAGCTGGTATAAGCTGTAGCCTGTACTGTCTTTGGTACCGCTAGGGTTGTAATTGGTAATGCGAGGCTGTTGCTGCTTTCTATTATCTCCAGCAATTGGTTTGTGTAGAGCATTGACATGGTTCTGACTGATCATGATGGTGTAGACGTGATTGAAATGCTCCAGGGATCATCTACCTTGACGTCACATTGAGTATTCCACCTCATCGATCTCTAAGGAAGGAAGCAAGGAGAACAAACTTTCCTAGCTCGATACAATCCTTGGACAAGGAATGCAACAAAGAGATGGAGATCGAAATACAGAGAGTGATTGAAATACAGAGAGATCGACATACATAGAGAGAGGTTTTGAGTGGGAGGGATGCAAAACCCCTAACCAAGGTTGCATCTAGCTAGGAAAGTTTGATCTGTCCGGTATCACCCCAGCTCCAAGGGGAGTTACAAACGTGGAGATCGAAGAGGATGGAATACTCAAAGAGACGTCAAGGGAGAAGTCTGTAAGTCTATATCTTCCAGTATCTTTTCATAAGCTTGTAGTTTTCACAAACAGTATATTATGTTATTGTTCTGTTTATAGGGTTTTGAATTCCTAATTGTGATTAGAATGCTCCTGGGATTAGAATGCTCCTGGTTGGTCTGAATTAGGGTTTTGAATTCCTAATTGTGATTAGAATGCTCCTGGGATTAGAATGCTCCTGGTTTGTTGCATTTTTTTAGGGTGTAGACGTCTCTTTGTGAATTGCATATGCTTATGCATAATTCTTTTCCCTCTCATTCACTAAAGACTTAATGTGCTTAGTTGGTTTTTGTAGGAATGGGGAAAGCTAAACAAAAAACCACGCAACCATCAGCCTCACCTGCTAAAGTGAAGGCTACTTATCGTCGTCGCCGCCAAACCCAAGAACGAGACACTCCCCCCAAACGACAACGCAAAAACAACCAAGGACGAGCACGTCAACCATCTCCACCACCACAAACGGAGGCTCAACTTGGAGGAGGGGGACTTCACGGCTTCCTCCAATTACCCGACAAACATAGGAGGGCTTTAGAGTGCTTCCTTCCCCTCCCATTTGGGCAGCAAAGATGCATTGATTGGGATCTCCTAGAGCGCCTCGGAGCAGCGGACCCCGTTCGCACATGCCTCCGTCTCCCGGCATGGTGTGAGGTTCTCTCCATCAATGAGGTCATCTACCGAGAGCTTACCATTGAGTTCCTCAGCACTCTCTCCATCAAGTTTATGTGCGAATTTCACCTCGACAAGCCCGAAGACAACATAACTTTTCGCCTTGGAGGACAGGCGAGACAGATGAGCATCACTGAGTTCAGAGAGGCACTCCAGATATACCCACCAGGATTTCTCACTACAGGTCATGGTTTGATTTCAGAGAAAGTATATTCACCAAGAGCACAATTGGTCGATGCTATGTGGAAAAGGGTAAAACAAAACCATGTGGACAAGTCTGACACTGCCCACTATAAAGGGAATGATCTTCTTCCCCCATGGCGTATCATCCACAACATTATCGCTCATTCTGTGGCAGCTAGGGAGGGGAGCCCGGGGAGTGTGACCAAGCGGGATTTGAACTTTTTCCTCTCTATGGTAAAAGATCCCCCAATTCATCTTGGTTTAGTCATACTGAAAACCCTACAGAAGATGACCTCCAACAAACAAATCAAGACCATCCATGGAGGTGCCTACATCACAAGGCTAGCTCGGCATTTTGGCATTGATCCGGTGGGTTCTCATTGCACCATTGCCCAGTCCACTCAACCAATCTCCCAAAAAAACCTTGCGGATCTATATTTGTTGTCAAAGGTAAATGTTCCAACCAACACTTTCCTTTTCACAGTGAATGCTAAAACAGAACTAGTCGGGATTCAAACAATCTAGGATTGATTTTGTGCAAGTTTTGGATTGCCTACTAATCTAGTTCCTTTTGAACATTGAGCAAATGTAACTAATGCTTCTGATATTGATCATGTCTGTGTTTGGTGGTTAAGGAGAATGGTGTGGTAGGCATTGTTGGCCTCCCTCATCCTGCTCCACCTCTTGCAACAGATGAGGCAAACGCATTGGAGCATGTTGTTCAGCAAATGGTCGAGGAGTCTCCGCAACAACCTGCACAACATCACCAAACTACGACTCAAGCCGGACCATCCACCGACAGATACATTTCCCATTTTGAGGCATTGGGTCGGCAGAATGCCCAAATTCTCGAGCAAAATGCACTCATTCTCTCCCGCCTCGATCGAGAAAAGGAAGCTCGACGCTACATCATCAAATGAAACCATCACATCATGAGGTCCTTGAGGATTGACTACAAAAAATTCTCAACACCTTGGGAACTATCTCCTAGGCCAACCGAGGAAAGCAATGAAGAGGGAAGTGAAGAGGACGACGAGGGCAACGACGATGAACAAAACAAGGAAATAAATCAAGAAGACAAAGGGAACGATGAGGAAGAGGGCAGTGAAGAGGACGACGAGGGCAACGGCGATGAACAAAACAAGGCAATAAATCAAGAGGACAAAGGGACCAATGAGGAAAAGGGAAGTGAAGAGGAGGACGACGAGGGCAACAACGATGAACAAAATAAGGAAACAAATCAAGAGGACAAAGGGACCAATGAGGAAGAGGGCAGTGAAGAGGAGGAAGAGGGCAGTGACGAGGAAGACGAGGGCAATGGCGATGATCAAAACAAGGAAAGAAATCAAGAGGACAAAGGGACCAATGAGGAAAATGGCAGTGAAGAGGAGGACGACGAGGGCAATGGCAATGAACAAAACAAGGAAAGAAATCAAGAGGACAAAGAGACCAATGAGGAAGAGGGCAGTGAAGAGGACGACGAGGACAATGGCAATGAACAAAACAAGGAAAGAAATCAAGAGGACAAAGGGACCATTGAGGAAGAGGGCAGTGACTCTAGCGAGGACAATGAAGATGAGCAAATCCAGCAAAACGAAGACGAGGACGAGAGCACTGACGAGGAAGATGGGCAGTGAAGATGACCCAACAAAAGTCCTTAGTACTTAGCTATGTGTTTGCGTTTGTGCTTGTATGTTTTCCAATTAGAATATGATGATGCACTAGTGTGGGCTACATGCAGCTAAACTTAATCATTAATTAGACAGATTTAATCGTGTTATGGATGCTTGTTTTATTAGACAAATGTAATGCTTTGACTGCGTTTTACTTTTTGTTAACAGGGTATCTCATCTGATATGATGTACAGTTACTAGAGAACATTGTGAATGGATCTATGTAATGCTCGTGTCAAGGTTTAGAGAACATTATGAATCATCTTTTTCATAAGTTTGAAGTTCTGGAAAAAAGTCCATTCTGTTTGAAACACCATTATAATAAGTACACGGGATAGTTCAACAGGTGAAAGTCTCCTACTGGAAATCTGACACCTTATACTGGTAATCTCACGACCGTAAAATACTCAAGTGAGATGTAAAAAGCAGTGCTTCATTCCTCAGGCAAATATCACGGCCGTGAGATGTCCCGTGAGATGCAAAGAGCAGTTCTCACTATCCCAGGAAATTTCACGGCTACTAATTGACATTGTCACGCCCGTCAAAATCTCACATTCTAGAGTTGTACCTTTACACTAAACTTAAAGTTGTACCTACACTTTCCTAAAAATCTTCTCTGGTACAATTCACAATTGTACCTATACACTATGGTACAACATTCTACACTTTCTAACAAATCCCTTTATGGTACAACTAAAAATTGTACCTATACTAATGGTACAACCTTAAGTTGTACCTACACTTTCTAATAAATCCCTTTATGGTACAACCCAAACTTGTACCTATACGAATGGTACAACTTTAATTTGTACCTACACTTTCTAAAAATCCTTCTATGGTACAACCCAAACTTGTACCTATACTAAGGTACAACTTTAAGTTGTACCTACACTTTCTAATAAATCCCTTTATGGTACAACCCAAAATTGTACCTATACTAATGGTACAACCTTAAGTTGTACCTACACTTTCTCCAAATCCAGCTATGGTACAACCCAAACTTGTACCTATACCATGGTACAACTTTAAGTTGTACCTACACTTTCTAACAAATCCCTTTATGGTACAACTAAAAATTGTACCTATACTAATGGTACAACCTTAAGTTGTACCTACACTTTCTCAAAATTCTTTTATGGTACAACTAAAAATTGTACCTATACTAATGGTACAACCTTAAGTTGTACCTACACTTTCTCAAAATTCTTTTATGGTACAACCCAAACTTGTACCTATACCCAATGTAGTCAAAATCCCGATATTAATCTTAAAATCTTACGATTTTACGATCTTACCTATGAGTTCCGATCCTGATTTTACTGTAAAATCTTTGAACCTTAAAATCCCATAAAATCTCGATTTAAAACTCTAAAATCCATAAAATCTACGATTTCTACGATTTTGTACGATTTCAAGGTTCATATCAATTGGATCAAAATTAGGCCGGTCAAGTTGGGTTATGCCCATGAACCGAGTCAAATTTACTTTCCCCAACCCAACATAATGAACAACACAACCCTAACCTGATAGTTAACCCTCAATTTATTTTCATTCTCTTCCTCGTATCTTCCTCTTTCGCACGTCGGCGCCCAACTCCTTCCATCAACGATATCTTCCACCCTCCCAATTAGCTTGTAGTTTGTTCCCACCACCCTCACAATAATCCAAATCTCCATTACATTGCAAGCTTTTGTTCATCTCCCAATCCTTCAATGCCACTAACCTGACCTTTTATCAATTAAGAAGGGAATGCATCAATCGTTGAGTTATCTTTTCCAGATGATGGTAATCAAGGAAATATGGTTAATGGTGAAAGTACTTCAAGTGATCATAACTCATAAGAGTAATGATATTAGTCCTTAAACAAATAAAAACGATGAGAGTGAGGGTGAGGTTGAGGATGATGACGATGACGTGTAAGTGATGTTAATGTTGATCCTAACGATCTTATGTGATTTTCTACTCTTAAGAATTAATTAACAGTGATATCTATAATGTTTCAGGTTTCTTATTTGTGTGTTTCTATTATGTACAAGAAAAATATATGGATTAGTTGTGTTTGTTTAGCAAACAAACTTATCTTGGGAAGTAATTATGCTTTATGTGGTTGATTGTTATTCAAGATATGCATTTTTATTACTATCTAGTGTTTTAAGTATTTATTTTAATATGAACCTTAAAATCTTACGATTTTACGATTTTAATCTACGATTTCGATTCTACCTCAGTTTTCGATTTTACTTAAAATCTAGATTTTGACTGCATTGCCTATACCATGGTACAACTTTAAGTTGTACCTACACTTTCTAACAAATCCCTTTATGGTACAACTCAAAATTGTACCTATACTAGTGGTACAACTTTAAATTGTACCTACACTTTCTAATAAATCTCTTTATGGTACAACTCAAATTTGTACCTATACTAATGGTACAACCTTAAGTTGTACCTACACTTTCTCAAAATCCTTCTATGGTACAACCTAAACTTGTACCTATACTATGGTACAACTTTAAGCTGTACCTATACTTCCTAAAAATCCTTCTATGGTACAACCCAAACTTGTACCTATACCATGGTACAACTTTAAGTTGTACCTACACTTTCTAACAAATCCCTTTATGGTACAACTCAAAATTGTACCTATACTAATGGTACAACCTTAAGTTGTACCTACACTTTTTCAAAATTCTTTTATGGTACAACCCGAACTTGTACCTATACCATGGTACAACTTTAAGTTGTACCTACACTTTCTAACAAATCCCTTTATGGTACAACTAAAAATTGTACCTATACTAATGGTACAACTTTAAGTTGTACCTACACTTTGTGAAACAAATTCTTCAATGGTACAGCTGAAACTTGTACCTATACTATATGGTACAACTCTAATTTGTACCTACACTTGTATACATTGATTCATTATTTACAGGATTGCCATTAATGATGTGGGACCAGTCATTTAGTGGGTTACCTCCTCAACAGGTCACCTTTTTTTTTTGTTTTTATAGCATGGGTGCTATAGAGCACACTAGAAGGGCTCGTCCCTAATTAATTCAGCGTCGATGATTCATACAATTCTGCCGCTCGTACGGACTATCTATCTCAATCCTATAAAGGCCAACCACAAAAATACTTCTTTTCCAACATATATTGATAATTATTTGGATCAATGTAGTCAAAAGCGCGCTTCTATGTAGAAGTGTTTTGATGATTTGGAAGCGTAAAACCGTAAGCTTTTAAGTTTTAATTAAAGTGCGTTTTTAAATACATTAGCTATAAAATGGAGATTTTGTGTAGAAGCGTTTTGGTGATTCGGAAGCGTAAAAGCATAAGTTTTTAAGTATTAAAACACGATTTTGACTACATTGATTTGGACAAGGAAACACAAAATGGAACTGTTTCATTTTTATTGTTTACATATGAAAAATTGAGACGTTAGTTTTTGCAGTTTAGCTCTTACCGATTATATAAAGTGATTATGCATGGAATTATTCAGGAGAACCATCACTGTCCAGCTCCTCTTTAACTTGTAGATGCAATTGAACGACTTATATACAAGACATATATATGGATTTTTATTCTAAGTTTTGTCTCTGTTTACACCTACAAATAATTTTGTGTTAAAATCATATTATCACAGTGTCGGGAGATCAACGATGTTGTGGGCTAAACAAATTTGTGATTATCGACGGCGCCGTGATTTCTACGACATTGCAATACCAACGAACTTGCAAATTCAACAACGCCACGAGGTCAATATAAATAGAGAGAAGTAATTTATGGGCTAAAGCATGGCTCGGTTGGTAATTCAATTAGCCAAGTCACGCAAAATAGCACAATTTCTCACTCACAGCCCCAATCAGTCAGATAAGGCCAAACATGTACCTTGATCTACAAAGGTCGTGCTCAATAACATTACCTAGGAGATAATTTCCCACACCAAAAGCTACTGAACCACAAGGTCGCGTTCTAGTTTGGCTCGTTTGATTGATGCTCGAACATTTTCAAGTGGTTACCAACCTTGGAACCACTTAAAGGTAGGGGCGGGCATTCGGTCTGTTCGGTTTCGACCGAACCGATATAATACATATCGGGTTCTCGAAGTCTACCAAATCTCAAACCGAACTCGAACCGAATTATAATTCGGTTCGGTTTGGAATTTAACACAAAACCTAATTTGTGAGGCTACTTGTATCTTCTCCCTTTTAAATTATTTTTTACCCCTAATGTAAACAATAAATATGCAATTATATCACTACAGGAAAAATGGTCTCTTTTTTTTTGCATTGGAGGGAGGCCGAAGCCGCAAAGAGGGTTACAGAGAAGAAGAGGGATGCGTCACCACACGACGCTGAAAGGAAATGCCCATACAATCTTCCATAAGAATAGGAGCTAACGCCGGCGGTGGATCAACAAGTTCATGCATACCCAGGGGATAGACGATACTGTGCTTCGAGAGCCAGTCCGCGGCTCTATTCCCCTCCCGATACATATGCCCGATGCTGACCAACCAATCCTGCGCCAGAAACCTCCGAATCGAAGCCAACAGAGCGGCGTAGGGATGAACGGGGTCATGACGACTCTTGATCAAAGCGATAGCCAATTGAGAGTCCGACTCAACAAGAACGCAAGAAGACCCGGCTTTCCTGGAGAGATGAAGGCCATAGTAAACTGCCCAGAGCTCGGCAAGGGTCGCCGAGGCCTCACCCACTTTAGCAACAAAGCCCCGGATCCACTTACCATGCTCATCACGGATAATACCCCCAGCACCAGCAAGCCCCGGGTTGCCCGCCGACGCCCCATCCACATTAAGCTTCACCCACCCATTACAAGGGGAACTCCAATGAATCTGCGTCTCAATCCTCTCCGGTCTGGATCCCTGGCGTCCAAAGTTCACCGTAGGGGCCTGCCACGCTTTATGCCACAAAATAGCCTTTTGCTGGATGGAGAACGCAAGGGAGGGTGCAGAAAGCGCCTTCTGTAATCCCTGGAAACACCCTGTACACCTGTTCTTCCAGATACACCACACAGCAGTACCAAAGAAGCTGTTCCAACTCATACCTGACTCCGTCACGTCCTCTTTCAGAATATTGTCTCTGACCCAATCCTCCCGACTGCTGCTGAAAAAGCTCTGCTGCTCCGCCTGAGGGATCCATCGCAGCCAAAAGAAACGAGCAGGATAGCAATCCCGAAGCAAGTGAAGAATGGTCTCTTCGTCATTCCCGCATCTAAGGCACATGGGGGACTCCGCACATTTACGAGAATAGCGGAGAGCATTCGTCGCAATGCGCCCAAGAGACATCAGCCACACGAAGCACCTGACTCTTTCTGCAACCGGAAGTTTCCAAATGGTTCGCCACACCTTCTCGTTCGGATCGTGCCTTGGAGGCAAGGCTAGACTGTAGGCTGAGGAGGTTGAGAAGTGGCCATTCGAGGAGGCGGTCCAGAGAATAGTGTCCTCTTCCAGAGAGAGGGGATCCACCAGGTTCGCCGTAATCTTTTGGAGCACCTCAGGAGGAAGCCAATCCTCCAAGCGATTGATATCCCATCTACCATCCTCATCAACATAATCCGCCACCTGCTCATTCAGCATCTCCTCCGTTACCGGTTGAAGCGCCACCTCCGCCAAAGGAACCTGCAAAAGCCAAACATCACGCCAAAACTTAGCTCCTTTTCCATTATGAATATTCCACGCACAGCCCTTCCGAAGAAGGTTTGAGGCTTTATTCAAGCTGTTCCAGGTAAAGGAACCTCCCTTAACAGGCCGAAGAACTTCAAGACCCTCCCGTTGCTTCCCGTACTTCGATCTCATGACTTGAGCCCACAAGCAGTCTTTGTCTTTAAGAATCCTCCACCCTCCTTTAGCGAGCATAGCCAGGTTTGCTGCCGGACTGACCTCAGCCCCCCTCCTCCCTGAGCTCTAGGCTCTGCCATTTTATCCCATGCCACCAGATGAATCTTCCCTTTCTCCTCCTCCTTCCCCCAGATAAAATCCCTGTTAATTTTATCAATAGCATTGCAAACATTCACAGGCAAAAGTTCAGTCTGCATAGGATAGACAGGGATGGACAGGGAAACTGATCTGGTAACAGTCAAGCGCGCAGCAAGCGACAGCTTCCTGGCTTTCCAAGGTGCCAGCTTCTTCTTGATCTACAGCAGTAGCCCTTCATATCGACTTCTGGTAACCCGACCATGGGTCGTCTGAATTCCTAAGTATTTCCCAAGGCTGGTGGCAAGGGGAATACCAGCCCTGGTACTTAGGCGCTGAGCTCTGGCATGATGGATGTTGGGGGAGATGTAGATGATAGACTTGGCAAAGTTCACTCGCTGTCCGGAACTCTCACAGAACTCATCAAGACACTGCTTTATAATCTTCACCTGTGAGATTTTCGCTTCTGCAAACAAAACCAAATCATCGGCAAAGAAAAGATGAGTTAGAGCCGGGCCATTCGGAGATAAGCGAATGGGATTCCATAGCTTATCTCGAACGGCCTTATCAATTCTGTGGGAAAGGCGCTCCATACATAACACAAAAAGGTAAGGAGAGAGAGGGTCTCCCTGGCGAACTCCCCGGGAAGGGGTAATGGCCTCAAGCAGCTCCCCGTTCCAGAGAATGCGCATTCTGTTCTGTTGAACACAATACATAATACACCTGATCCAAGAACTCGGGAGGCCAACTTCTATCAGGGTGTCCCTCAGAAAGTCCCATCGAAGCCGATCATAGGCCTTCTCCAGATCGATTTTCACCACCATGCCACCCTTACGCCCCTTCCTCTTTCTCAGCGAGTGAACAACCTCCTGAACCACCACTATGTTGTCCATCGTCTGACGACCTGGGATAAAGCTGGACTGCCGAGGTGAAACAAGGGTTCTCATAACAGACTTCAGGCGACTCGTCATCGCCTTTGTAATGGCCTTCAAGCTGACATTGTTCAAAGAGATGGGCCGAAGCTGCGTGACTGATTCAGGTTCTTCCACCTTAGGAATAAGAACTACAGTGGACTCCAAAACAGCAAGGGGAAGGTTCCCATGCTCAAAGAAAGATATCGCCATCTCTGACAGGTCTTTCCCGACAACCTTCCAAGCTTGTTGGTAAAAAATTGCTTGGAAGCCATCCGGACCCGGAGCTTGGAAGGGTTTCTTGTCAAACACCGCCTTGTGTATATCCATTATAGTGAAAGGACGAAGGAGCTGAAGCCAATCTTCCTGTCTGAGTCTGGGGAATACACCCTTTGGAAGTAGATCACTATAGGGTGTGTCATCCTGCAAGTAAAGCTCGGAATAAAAGTTGAAAATAAGACCCGCCAACTCCTTCATGTCAGTGACCCAGTTGCCACCCCCATCTTTTCAGAGCTGTAATCTTATTCATGCGTCTGCGGATATTAGTCAGATGGTGGAAATAAGCTGTGTTCCTTTCCCCGAATTTCACCCAATTCTCCCGAGACCTCTGAAACCAGATAAGCTCTTCCTGCTCCAAAGTCTTGTCAAGTTCTGCCTCAAGCTTAGCATGAAGTTTAGCTAAACTTGGGGAGAAAGACTCTGCTTGCCGTCTTTCAATACCAGCAATCCGAGCAACCAGCCTTTTCTTTCTCTGAAAAATATTCCCAAAGACAGCCAAGTTCCATCCCTTAAGTTTGTCTGATAGAACCTGCAAAGCATCAGGGAAAGTAGTCTGAGACTCCCAAGAATTCTCAATAAAAGGGAAAAAATCAGCATGGGTTAACCAGGTTGCCTCAAATCTGAAGCGCTTAGAAGTAAGGTGCGAGACTCCCTGAGTTGGCCAAGAGGTAAGGATGGGGTGATGGTCCGAACTGAGGCGCGCAAGATGAGTCACCGAAGTCGTTGGGAAAGTTTCATTCCACTCCAAGTTGCAAAGACTTCTATCCAATCGACTGGCCTTGTACGAGGCAGTGGTATTCCCCCTGGACCAAGTAAATTTGGGGCCAGAAAAACCCAAGTCTAGGAGCTTGGCCTCATTAATCCAGTTCCCAAAGCGCTTGCATCTGCTATAGGTAGAGGAGGAAGCCGGACCAGTCTTCTCATCCGGGTCGCGAATAGCATTGAAATCCCCAGTAAGAATCCAAGGACAATTAATTCGCCTGCTCTGATCGATTAACAGACCCCAAAGAGAGCGCTGGCTCTGCTGCTGCGGAGAAGCATAAACCGCCGTGAGCTTCCAAATCGGCATTCCAGGCTTGGAGCAGATCATAGTGAGGTGTGGATGGCCAGCAGAATCAACTTGCATAGTAATGGCCTGCGAGTTCCAGAAAATCCAGATTCCGCCGCTCCTGCCATTGGCCTCAACTCTAGCAACATCCTGGAAACCCAACCTATCACAGACAGCGTTCGCCACCCCGCCACTAACCTGCGGTTCAAGCAAGATCACTATGTCAGGCTTGTGGAGCTGAAGGACGAGTTTGAGAGAACGAGAGAAGGCTCGTCCACCAGCTCCACCAACATTCCACGCAAAGAGTTTAAAATCTGAGTAAGTAGACATAGACATAAAAATTATAAGAGAGAAGGGGGAAGGGGGAAGGGGGAAGGAAGGAGGCCGCAGAGACGCAGGGCATCAGAAACTAGGCCGGCTGGCCACTCCCTCCGATCAGTTGCGGGTTGAGCCCGTCCGATGGGAGAGGGGATTCCCGACGAGCCTCGCTCGCTCTGTTCTCCGAGCTCATTTCCGTCCAATCTTTAATCTGTTGCAGGGTTAAGGAGACCCATTTCTCGTGGCCTTTGCTCTTCCGATCCTTGACAGGAGTCCACAGCTTGAGAGCCTTCATCGGACTGTGCCGGATTGGAGTATTCTTCTTCGGCGTTGACTCCTTCCTCCCCTGCGCTCCTTTCTTCCTTTCTTTCTTCTGTTTGGTACGAGAGACAGTAGATGGAGCAGCTGGGTCGACGATTCTATTCGGTGGGGGGGGGGGGCATAGGGCTGGGCCTCAATAATTAACATATTGGTCCCCTTGTCCCCTTTGACAGATTGGGTTACCAACCCAATGGTTTGAGGAGCATTAAGCCCATCGTCCTTGGGCCCAGAAGACGAAGCTTCATTAGACTTGGGGGTGGATGAAACCTCCCTGGAGCTTGGCCCTTCGGGCCTTGGCAACGGGCCGAGAATACCCGAGGAGTCTACAAAGTCCGCAGCCACCGAAGCAACCTCTTTCCCTTTTTTGTTATCCCCTTTCCCCTTCTTGCTCGTATTTCCTTCTTGCGTTATCTGCAGCCCCTGTTTCCGTTGAGTTGATTTAGCCCCAGCCTGATTTGGCAACTTTCCCCTTTCCTTTTTCGTGGATCCATCTTTCCTTTCCTGCTTGTTGTTTGTCCCGTCAATAGCTTCCTCCGCCTGAGCCAGTCGCCCCTGATTTGGTATATCCCGCTGATTACGGCGGGATTTTCTCGTGACAAGCATCCAGGGGCCAAAGCCAGGCCCTTCCTCCGGCGAGGGCTCGACGGAGACTGCCGTCGGCGTCGGTGAGAATTCCGCCACTCGATCTCTATTCTGAGCCGGACAGAGGACAGGGCAGCTGGCCTTAGTATGCCCAATTTTCCCACATTCAAAACAGACAAGCGGTAGGTTTTCGAATTCAACCCTCTGCCATATCCCATCCGGGCGGATTCTTGGAACTAGGGGCTTCGACAAGTCAACTTCGACAGCGACTCTCGCGAATCTGGTACGTTGCTGATGCAGCGTATGAAAATCAAGCTTGATCGCCCGTCCGATGAGATTACCCAGCGAGAAGAGGAGGTCCTTGTGGTAAAAGTGAACGGGAAACCCCGAAATTGAACCCACACCACCATCGTACTTGGAAGCTCGTCTGTGACCCTGAAAGCCGGAGTCCATTGTTGAACGACCAAATAATGGTCAAAAATCACCCACGGTCCGTCCGATAGAGCTTTGAAGTAGTCTTGATCATTCCCCAACTTCACAAGGTAGAAGTCTCTGTCCATAGCAAAAACCTCCATGTGGCCAGAAGGTCTCCATAGGGATCGCAATCTGTTACAGATGGTAGTGTATCCGATTGACTTCCCTAACAATCTGACCACAAGGGATCTCTGCCAAGGGGCACTTAATTTCTCTTTGAAGCTTTCGGAAACCCTCAATTCCGGTTCCCCATTGAAAGAGCCCGGAATGATGTCATGTTCCCCAACTGGAACCCATGGCGAAACAGCACCCCCCGCCTGAGAACCGAGGCCAGCCACCGCATTGGCATAGGAAGCCTTCGGCAAGGCCAGGCGGTAGTCGGCTATGAAATCCCCAGCTTCACCTTCACTGGTCACCCCATTCACAGTCCTCTGCAAACCTTCAGGGACCAAAGCACTGGAGTTCTGGGTCTCCGACGCTGACATAGGCACCCCACCCGCCTGAGCAATATCGACCTGCATCTCAGCCACTGAGTGGGAGCTATCCGGCGGCCGTCCCGGCGGGGCAGAGCTCGACTTCAGATCCGTCACACCAGCAGGGATCGTACAGAGCGTTTCCATCCTATGAGGAAAAATGGTCTCTTGCAACTCTCACAAATGTGTTGCACAATGTCTTAAAAGAGTTGCAAAATTCTACCGCAACACTTTTGGTGGGGTTGCATATAGTGGGGGTTGCAAAAAGAATAGGCAATTCGTTTTTCATTTTTCGCAAACCAATTTAAAGTGTTGTGTATCCTTAGTTCCTTACCTCTTATGCAACACCACTATAGACAACACATTTCACAATATTTGTAACACATTTTCGAAATATATATAGGCAAGTTTTTTAAGATTTGGCAACATTAATTTTTTTATCTGTGACGAGTCTAAATCGTCACAAATAACTTACTCAATAGTGGCAACATTTTTCGTAACCAAAATCAATATTTGGGTGACAATATTATCGTCAATAAATATTCTTTTTCTGATGAGGTAGTCCAGTCACGAAGCCTACCATTATGACATGTCTAATTGTAACGAATAGTTATCATGTGTGACCATAATTATGTCATAAACACACGTTTTGTATTCAAGGGCTCATATTGGTTGTCCCTAAAGTTATTATTTGTGATAAATTTTATTGTCACATCTGTCCCGTATGCGTGATGAATGTCAATTGTCTATCACAATATACTTATGTGACAAGTTTGTTTATCACGAAAACACCATACGTACCACAAACTACTGTCATTTGTGACCAACATTTTTATTGCAAAAGGATATAGTTGGTGACAACTTTAGTAATCACTCAAAAATTAGCATTGGTGATAAATTGAGAGCACGAACATCACAAATCGCATTCATTGGTGACCAACATTTCATCGCAAAAATGTTAGCGTTTGTGACAACTTTGCGAGCCACAAATAAAGCAATGGTGATGCAACATTGAGTTGTCACGAATATATTTCTATTATGACAATAAAATTATCTTTTCAGTCTTCTTTTGTGACAAGGGTCATTGACTTGAGTATATACTAGAAATGACGATAACATGAGTGCATTTTGTGACGAAATCTTAGGACACAAGTTGCTACAAATGACAATCCTTCTTGTGTATTCCCTCCTTCCATCTGTGTTTCATCCGAACCATGTTTATCTTAAAAATAAAGAGACTGGGAACAGGTTTTATTTGAACCGTAATGAGCTCACGTAATCTTTTTCTTCCTTTTCGTTGGTATGTGGTGTAAGTAGAGGGCACCATTGCTACCAAGACAAACAAAAAACATATATATTGAATCAATCTAACCCGGGGAATCAAACAAAAAACATATATATTCATCACCATACCTTGTAACTTGGGCCAAGAGTGATCAAGAAAGAAGTTAACAGGAGTCCTCGTTGAATAGTAGCTGGCGGCTGGAAAAGAGAAAGGATCGGGATTTCGTGAAAGTGGAATATTGAAAGAGGAAGGGTTTTGTTTTGCCGATAGATTTTCTTATTAAGTGTTTAGGTGAAACCTTCCCTCCCAGTATTACGGCAAATCTTCACAATATAAGGCTTCATCACTTAATTAGTTAATTAAAGGAAGTAGGGAAAAGTGGTTGACATGAAAATTTTCGTTAGGCGTATAGTTCCATTAAATGCACAAGAATCTCTTTTAGTTAAGTTTATCTTTCCTTCCCATATCTTTTCCGAAAAATATCTTTCCTTCACAATATTAGTTCATAACCAAATTTATCTCTCTATTTTTAATCGTTTAGTTTATCTTTTCAGATCTTTTTTTTTATTTGCTCACCCAATTTTTAATATTTGGACAATGAAGCCACCGACCGCAGCAACATGGAGTGAGTTAATGGATGCTCGTATACTTGTTTAATGATTCCTAGTACTTTGGTATTTATTGACTACATATGTCCGACACTTGTTTGTACACCAAATGTGCTCAAACTAGAGATGACAATTTTGATCTGACATGTTTTATCTTATCTGTTTGACAGGTTTTGGGCGGATAATATTCGCCAAGTAGGTGGGACATGCATGGGAACTCTTCTCAACCTGACCCGTTCCTTTTTGACCAGCTTTTACCTAAGTTATATGTAGTTTTGCTTAGAGTACTTGGGATTTTACTTTTATCCCCTCATATTATAGCTAAAATAATACATTTATAAATAGGTGACAATCTTAAGTTACATGTAGTTTTGCGGCTTATGAACTGGAAGTTGAATAAAACGTGTGCATGAACTATTACTAAGTTCGCTAAGCACACCCGGACACGACCCGATGTGCACATACATATCATTATCAGAGTTTGTAAAAAGGACATTTGAGTCATTTAAACTATTAAAACAAAGCATTTTATAGACTTCTAAATCCATAATATCTCATACACGAGAGTTTATTGATTAATCCTTAAAAAGCCCAAATTTTCATAAATTTTCATAAATCCATAATATCTCATACACGAGAATTTTTATTCACTAATAATAAATATGTCCAATTAAAATATTTATAACATTTAGTTCGAAAACAAAACGTGTATGATTTTAAACTATTGGATTAGTAGCTACGTCAATTAAAAATCTTTAATTGATAAGGTTTCACATTTGCAAACATTTTAGACTCAACTAAAATATCAATGAAATGAAAATGATGGAGAAAGAGTCCATTGATGGTAGAGGTAGTGAATTTGGAAATATTGATAGTGAGTAGTGATGTTGTTGAGAAGAATACATAGACTATTGATGATCGACAGAGATGTTTCAGTGAAGAATATGAAACAGTGATTAATAAAGATTATGATACATCTGTTGAAACAATATCAAAGAAGTCAAAAGAAAAATTACAACAATTTCCTACTGTAAGAAGTAAATTAAAGCGTAGCTTGATAAAGTTTTTTTACGAGTTAGTTCCCTTCCGTGAGCTCTTTTTTTAATTTTTATTTTCAGTAAGAACTTCCATTGATGAACTGGTTAGCATATCATAAAATAACTCTATGATGTATGCTACTTTTTTTTTCATTAATTGAATAGTTCAAATCTTTTGACTTTTGATATCATTAAAAATATATCTTGCTTCGTTCAATTACAAGTGTTGATTATGTGTTTGAAATAATGTATCCCGCCAACAGGCAGGGTACTTTTGTTGATGAACCGGTTAAGATTAGCATATCATAAAACACTATGATGTGTGTTCATTTTTTTATTTTTAATTAATTGAATAGTCCAAATATTTTGACTTTAGATGCCGATAAATATATATTTTTATTGGTACAATAACTGTTTTTTTTTCTTATGTGTTTGAAATAATGCATCCAATCAACGGGCCGGGTTCAAATCTAGTTATTTTCTATATGAGTTACGCTATCCTCTTGCAAAGAGAGCCATATTTCCCTCTCTTCCTTTTTTTCTCATATTTTTACTTTCCCTACATAGATTTCATAACTAATTACCAAACACCAACTCATTCACTTACTCTGCCACTAATCCAAACCATGTTGTACCTTCCCAGGTCGAGGTTGACTGTAGTGGCCACTTTCGCTCAACAAAATTTTGACCTAGTCAAACGGGATTAAACACGTCTAAATCACATATAAAATATTTCAACATAAAAAATATTGTGAATAAACTAATTAATGTAGATGATAAAAGCAAAACTCATTCAACCGATTGAGTGAGGGTACAATTAGTTCATGGCTTAAACCATTTTATTTATCTAAAACCAAAATTGCATAATTGAGTTCATCTTCACATGTTACATGTCCTTGTCGTAAAAGTTCTTTAATAGATAAAAAATGATTTTGAATCAGCATTATAAAATATGATTGTTGGATCCAATCATGTCAGATTAACACGAGGTTTAAAGCTAGTGGTTAACCAAGCTAAACTAAAAAAAAAAAAAACAATGCATAAAAATATCATTGTTTCATAATACTTCTGTCAATTAATACTAATTTAAGAATTCTAGATAACTTTTACATATCTAATATTCCAATTCAATGTGCAATATTCGACCAAATAATATTGGAGATGCCATTTAGAATAAAGATGTTGAAAATGGTTAGTTAGCAAGTGAAAACATAAAAATGCCACATCAACGTATTCCATTATATTTGTAACAAAAATGACATATTTGTCACAATAAAGACAATGTAGCATAGTTGGTTATAATGTTCATTCTTCATTTGATTGACCAACGTTTAAATCTCAATAATATTTTTTTAATATATAACGGTAAATTGGGTGTAATTAAAATGAAATTCCTAAATCACTCTTAAGCCAAATGGGGGAAATTTTTTCTCAATTGACTTTAAACATATTTATAAATATAATTGTTCTTGTTTGTTATTTTAAAAAAATAAGCCGCTGGAAGGGAATTAGATCAATGTCTAAACTTTATGG